ACAGTTCTTGAAAATATAACTACTGAAAAACCTTGTGACAAAAATCTAACACTCGGGCAACATTCTGTCAAGTATGATTTATACAGTTCTTGAAAATATAACTACTGAAAAACCTTGTGACAAAAATCTAACACTCGGGCTACATTCTGTCAAGTATGATTTATACAGTTCTTGAAAATATAACTACTGAAAAACCTTGTGACAAAAATCTAACACTCGGGCTACATTCTGTCAAGTATGATTTATACAGTTCTGGAAAATATAACTACTGAAAAACCTTGTGACAAAAATCTAGCACTCGAGCTACATTCTGTCAAGTATGATTTATACAGTTCTTGAAAATATAACTACTGAAAAAACCTTGTGACAAAAATCTAGCACTCGAGCTACATTCTGTCAAGTATGATTTATACAGCTCTTTAAAATATAACTACTGAAAAATCTTGTGACAAAAATCTAGCACTCGGGCTACATTCTGTCAAGTATGATTTATACAGTTCTTGAAAATATAACTGCTGAAAAACCTTGTGGCAAAAATCTAGCACTCGGGCTACATTCTTTCATATTTTTACACCTTGATGAAGATGACCACTGGTTTTCACGTGTGTTCTCTTTTACTAGATTAATTTATATTTAGAATAAAAAGGCAAAAAGCAAACAAATTGTAAGAATGTTTCCCTTCTGCTGCCTTTGTTGTGTGATAATATTTCAGTTCCGACTTTATTTACCATCCATTCTAAAAATACAAATATGAAACCCATCACCAAAATGCATACCACTTCTGCATATTAGCAAAGATAGGTGTAGAAATTAATGTGATCTCCTTAACATTTCTACAGTAAATCCAGCTATAGTAGGCTAATAAGAATAGTTATTTTGTATTAGATTACTTCCAGAGATCATAAACGTAAGCTTTTATTATAATGTGGCATTATACTAAGAAGTGCAAAGCACATATAAGGAGTTGAATTAAAATGATGATCTCCTTTACATGCATCTCACCAAATATATGTTTTTATAAATAGACCAATAATTATCGCTCAAAGATTTAGCTTTGTAATTTATCAGTTATTTAAACCAAAATCTACCATCTCTCACACCATTTGAACGTTAGTTATACAGTTAAAGAGATATACACTTGTTAGGTAATCCCACTTTCAAGGATTTTTCTTGTAGGTAAATGAGATGATTTGTGACTAATGCATTTCAAATCCACCCTACCATATCATCTGCACATGGAAACTAAATATGGCGGGAGAAGCATTATGCACTCTATATATTTCCCTCTGAAGCAAAACTGAAGTAAAGAAGAACACGTAAAGGAGTTCGCGCAATTTTATGTTCAGTGATTTTTATTGAAGAATGCAATTTACTCTTACCGTTTCAGTTATTGATAACAACATATGACTTGGCTGTTGTGTATAACGATATAACAAAATGACGTCATTTTAGTATCTGCACTAGATATATGCGTAATGCGTAATGCATTTATTACAAGCTCCAAATGGACATACACAAAAGATCTCTTGATACTCTGTGTTTGGGATATGATCGATTCCCGGATTGATTTTAGACTCTAGTCTTTTTATTTATTGAAAAATTTGTAATTACTCTCATGAAAAGTAGAACACATGATTATGGCGACATGTTATTTTGGATATTTTTATATGTGAAAAAGTAATGGGACAATCAGCTAATAAAAGATTTTCAAAACATAAATGTTTATTAATTAATCACAATAAAGACTTGAGTCATACTTACAATTTTGTGTTTGTGTTATTGCATTGAAATTAAATTTTTCTGCTGGTGAAATGCTACTTTTAACACCCCACCATTGTTTATTTCCTTGGTTTGCTGGAAAAATTTGATACAAACTCAACATAACTGTTTGGAAAGCTCTGTTCACCGTCTATCATTTGAAAATTGTTACATGTTTGTGTAAGACACGTAATCAGATAAATTTGTCCCAGAACACTGGCGACATCATGACATTGTACCTTGAGTTACATGTACTCCCTTGATATTTTACCTTGAGTTACATGTACTCCCTTGACATTTCCGTTGCCAATAGTAAACCCTCTTCAATAGCGATTGGCCAGTTTTAACAGCCACCTTGACAAACATCCCTTCGTTGGTAAAATAGTAGCCTAAAAGTTGGCTATGGGTAAAGTTGACTAGTTGTCTTCACACTAGTCTCTGACTGTTAGATTAAGGACGGCTAATATAAATAACTCTTGAGTTGCTTTGCAGGAAATTTCAAAAACAAAGATACAAACTCACCATCCTTTACTGGCCTAGTACGGGTTTCCAGTAATAAATATGTATAATTGCACATCAACTTCACATTGGTCTAGTACGGGTTTCCAGTAATAAATATGTATAATTGCACATCAACTTCACACTGGCCTAGTACGGGTTTCCAGTAATAAATACGTGTAATTGCACATATAAAGCTTTAGTTGGTCGAAAGATCTAATGGGAGACAAAAGGGGGACATTGTTTGACACACCCCTGGTGTGAAATCCGTTAAATTAAGAGGGATGTGGAAAAAATCTTCAGTCGAATATTATTATTATCACAGATATTAGTTATATTGTTTGAAAATACAAATTAGTTTTCGGCGTTCGAAACCGTGTTTTTATAGTTCTTTCAACTAATCGCCTCTAAGGACCAGGCTTTCTTAAGTGTCCAATCAGGGAGTACATGTAACTCAAGTACGTGCAACTCAAGGTAAAATGTCAAGGGAGTACATGTAACTCAAGGTAAAATGTCAAGGGAGTACATGTAACTCAAGGTAAAATGTCAAGGGAGTACATGTAACTCAAGTTAAAACGTAAAGTAACCAATTACATAAGTATGTATATGAAGAAGTATATATATATATATATGTATATAATAATACTAATTGCTCAAGACTAAGGTAAAAATATAGAGAAATGTATTCTCTAATGTATAAAAATGGGAAATAGTGTATTTAAAAGAGAGGGAACACTTG